AAATGTTTTGTTTTTTCTTTCTTTTTGTTGGTTGATTGCATCTGGTTTTCTCCAGGCCGGGGATATCGAGGCCCAGGATGATCTGGCTCTGGCCTTATCCAGAGGTCTGGAACTGGACACCCAGAGGTCCAGTAGAGACTCTATCCAGTGCTCCAGTGGCTACAGCACACAGACCAACACACCCTGCTGCTCTGAGGATACTATACCGTCACAAGGTAGCACACTCACCAGTTCTCTGCTTCTTTTTAACTTGCTAGCATCATATCATACGTCACGTGGCTGGGTGCATACACTGCTTATTTCTTTATTTGTTTCGTTCCAGTATCAGACTACGACTACTTCTCAATGGCTGGAGACCCAGAGTCTGAGCAGCAGCAGTCTGACTTTGATAAGTCCTCCACCATCCCCAGAAACAGTGATATCACTCAGTCCTACAGACGTATGTTCCAGGCCAAACGCCCAGCCTCCACAGCGGGGCTACCCAGCAGTCAGGTACCTTATCCTGGCCCGGGGGCCTACCACACGGGGCCTTATCCCTCCACACCAATCCACACAGGCGCTTATCCATCTACTCCTACTGCACAGTATCCTCCTACACCTACAGGTAACTGTTTTGGCCACTTTCTTAATGTTGGTGATAAAATATCGTGACCATCAGTTCCCAAAATGCCTCTCTTCCCATTTCTACAGGCCACGGTCCAGTTATTGTGACCCCTGGAGTTGCCACAATCCGCCGCACGCCTTCATCAAAACCTGGACGCCGTTCGGGCTCCGTTACAGGTACAGGCCCCATTCCCATTCGCACTCCTGTCGTTCCTGTAAAGATCCCCACGGTGCCTGATATGCCAGGAGCTGTTAATGGGAACAGAGGCGAGGAGATGGGAGGCAGAGAAGAATCCCCCAGTTCTCCAACATTTGGAGGAGAGGAGGATCCCGGCACGCTACCCATGGCGTCCTGGAGTGGTCAGGCCACAACCAACCCTCCCAATCTACCCAACTATGTGAGCCAGCAGCACCTTCAGAGTGAGATGAGACAGGAGGGAGGAGGAGATGATTCAGGAGAGCAAGAAGAAGGAGACATGCTGATCGCCATCCGCAAAGGGGTCAAGCTCAAGAGAACCTTCACCAACGATCGCTCTGCACCACGCATCGCGTGATTCGGCAAAGTTCGCAGGAGACGTGTGACCTCATTTGTAAATTAGGTCAAAAGCTTTAGGAAAAAGGAACGTTGCAGATAAGAAGTGCAATGTGTAAACTTAAAATGCTTCTTATAACACATTGCAATATCAGTTGTATCTGTTGGCTTTCGTCACCTGTGAGAACCTCCTACTACAGCCCCCATTTACAATCACTCAAAAAGCAGTTGTCTTATTGGGCTTACGTTGCCTAGAAATGATATAAAGCCATGTTAATAACTCACTCTGGATGAGGCCATTTGTGCTAATCCTTGTATAAGCTGTAATTGCAGGCCCACAGATGTAAAAGAGCAGCATAAAACAGCATGTTTTTGTTAATAAGTAGCACCACACTGATCACTCATTATTTTCACACATTCACACAATACTTACGTCTCCTCTGAGTGGAAAAAAAAAGTACTGTATATTATGTGTACACAGACTCAGTGTTTTGGGAGTGCACTGTACTGTTGCGGTGGGATCAGCATTCTTACTGTTGATGACTTGGCAATAACCTCTGCAGGTACGACACGCCCTCGAGAGAGCGCTATTAAAGTGCTCTATAACAGTAACGGCTTCAGCGGCTGGCCTTTGATGGCTCCATTTTTGGCAACTCCTGACCTGCATCAGTGCTTATTTGGAGGCACGCCCTGATGGCTGTTCATAGGTGCTGAGCTTCCAGTCACAGTTCAAAGACTTAAATGCAGTATGCATCGATACTCAGAGACGCCATGAGCACAGGAAGCTCCTAAACAAAACAAAAGCAAAGGAATTGACTGTGTCGCATTCGGAGTCGTAGGAGGCTACGGTGTGACTAAAGTTCACCTGTTTGACGCTGTGACATTAAGAGAGACTAAAGTTGTGTCCTTTTCGTCTTTATAAGGGTTCATATTGACACGGTTTGTAAATAATTTTGCACGTCTGTGTTACCGGGGAGTGTCGGCATCGCTCGTTCAAACGTTCAAAATCAATCAGTTCCACATCTTTTAACAGGAAATAAGGATCATCATACCACACTGCCTCCAAATGGATTGGGTTTACTTCTCCTCAGTTTATGACTCATTTAATCTGCAATCTCTACACGTTCGTGGGTTGCAGATTAAACTTTGTCAGAGGTTCTTGTGTTAATATACGACCTCTTTCCTTTGTTTGTCATTTATTGACCACAGTATGAGCTGTTTGGTGTTGATTGCTCACAGCGGCAGTAATAAATCTCAAAGTATATACTGTCTCTGTTTAAAAAGAGAGAGAGAACTAAACATTTTATTGAACCTGAAGCATTATTTCAGAGTTAAATGAAATTTTTGTTAACGCCATGATGTTTCTGTCCTTCAGACTTCAGACCACGTTTTTATAACTGCCACTTTAAATTAGTTTTTTTGGTTGTTTTTACAAAGGTGATTATGTTATCGACAAGGAAATCGCAAAAAAACCATCATATAAGATGAGATACTAGGCCCGTCATTAGACCAGAGGCTAAACAGGCTAGTTAGTGTCACTCAGTCTGTATTTGGTTTGCATTTCAGTTCAAGCACTGTGAGACCATGGCTACTACAGGATGTTTGAAATTGTAAATATTATTTAGTTAGTCCAGGATCTCACACGATTTTAATTTATTTCATTTCTCATCCTTTAAATGTCTTCCTCCTCAACTCGTCTCTATTTTTATACTTACTATAAAATATCAGAGTGGCAGAGCTGTTCCCTCGATCCGTGCCGTCTAAAGTTTTCAGTCAAATGTTCACGACTGTCCCGCTGTCAGTCCCTCATTTCACACATCTGTATATTTTGCATCATGAATTCAGATAAGATGGTTTGAAAGCACACGGTTTTGTTTTGTTTTTTTGTAAGAAAAATGCCAAGCAGGTGTGGTTTTGAGTCTCATCAGTATTACAGGCCCAGGTCTTGTGCAGAGCTGCACCCACTTCAGTTCGGTCCAAATGGCGCATTTTCATCTGAGTGGGAACGACAAAACCTTTTTTTTTTTTTGTAAATTATTGTTTAAAGTGATGATTTTTTCCCTCTGGAGACTGAACTGAAAGTGGAATGACAACAACCATGCTAGGAGTTTGCTAAACAGATTGCGCCTTGCAAACCTCCGTCCACTCATTTAAAACTTGTATCATTAACCTGTAAGTCCCATATTTAAATTACTAGCATAAATATATATAAATATTATATTTGCCAAATGTCAGTATATCCTATAAGAAGTTTATAGTTTGTGAAAGTTTTAAAGTATAGTTAAGTCTGTTTTCCAGTTTAGTTTTTAGCTGTTTTCCTTCCCCACAGAGAGTTGACCTCTCAGTCTGTCCCTGTAGAGTTCAGGCTTTAATGCATTTTGTTTAAGGAGGTAAAAATGTTGTTATTTTTGTGTTATGACAGCTTTAGCAATATAATAAAGAATATTAATTTTGTTTTGGCTTTGTGTCTTCTCGAATATGTA